TACCCTCGTCTAGCCTCTCTTCCTGATGCAATTTTCCTAAATATAAGCAGCATTGCTGTTTCTGCTGCCAGAAAAGCCTACAAAGAGAAACAAGATGCTTCTCAATACAACTTGTACAATCACTTCCATAAATGTCTTAAAAATATTTATGTTTGCTAGCTCACAAAACGCAAGATAGACTCAGCAAAAGTTCTTGTAATTCTTTCCCATTTCTTTTACTTGGTAAATTAATAATGAAGATTGCTTAGCACACCTCCTTCATGTGAGTAAATTTATTTCCTTTACAAGTTTATATCCTAGTTTATAAGGGAGTTTACAATATATAGCCCTGACATAAACACGAGAAAGCACAGTCATTCAGCTTTATAGCTAAACCATGAGACTGGCATGCAGGAAATTATTCTTAAGCAGGCCTATTTTTGGATTAAGCTTATATTTAAGCACCCTGAAATGTGTATAAGAATAAGGAAATGAATGCTGAAACAAAAAAAAAATTAAAAAAGGAAAAGAATTAAAAAACACAGTAAATAGTAGTAATCGTGCATGTGCTAAGAAGGTCTGTAAGTATAGAAAGCTGCATTTCAAGGGTAAGAAATAAGATTGACTGTGGAAACTGAAGAATTATAAATACAGTAACTGGGCAGGAGTCACAAAGTTAATTTGGAAATCTTCCAAATGTTTCTATAAAAATGCAACAGTGCATTGTACGTAGAGAAAATGATGTTTCTAAGAGAGATAAATTTTTGCCATGGGCATCACTGCAATYGTCTCAGATCACTTTTCAGACCCTAGACTCTGTTGATCGGCAATACTAGAAGGTCCTTCTTTACCACATTTAATAGATTTCACATAAGATAGCCAAAGAAAATTAGAAAGCATGCTATTCTCATGAAAAAAAAATACTTTTCAATTACCTCTGCAGCCAAATGATGTTATTGCCATACTTGCATTATTCCAAAGTCATTACCTAGACTAAGTATAAGGAACACTATACTAGAATTTAATTGGAAGCAGAAAATTAGAAAGTTCCACCTAATGGTTGCTGTTGAAGCACAAATACATGGAATGAAAGGGGTTGCTGTTTTCTGAACATCACCATAATGATGTTCAGCTACTGCTTGAGAAGCATACATTAGCGTATACATTAGAGCCACTGTTCTCAACTCAGGGCTAGGGGCCCATGCTAAGCACCCTTGAAGATGCTCCCCAGAATGTGACAGAGATGTCAGCATCTGTTAAGTGTCAGCAGCAAGTCAAGCAGCACTGCACAGCAGCAAAGGGCTGAGAAGGGGCTGCTCTGGCACTAATGGATCCCTGTCCTCTTGACTTGGCATCTAGTCCAGGAACTTTGAGTTTTCTGGGTCACAGCCAGCCTCCCCTTAGCTGCTCACAYTGAGCCCAGTAAGGGAAGGTAACACAAGCCCATCTCACACATGCACAGACCTCAAAGAGAGCAGTGCAGAAAGAGGTCATGGGAGGTAACATCTGGGGTCCTGTGAGACCCCAGATCCCTCTTTACAGGGTGGATTTTATGAAACAGAAGTCAGGATATTGTTTTATAAATAGTATTTAAGGACACAGAGCCTGTGRTAGTGACAGACTTAAATCTGATGACTCAAAAGATGCCTTCAAGTCCCATATACCTAAGAAATCATGCATGCAATTTTTCAAAGCTCTCTATGAAACTGGGTACCCTGTYCTCATTTGCAAAAAGGTGTTTTGAAAACAAAAAAAACAACAAAAAATCTGTTTTGGATACTACTCAGCCTGGCTGAGATATGAGTTGAATCATTTTGCATTTTTCATCACAAAAACAGCTGTACAGTATTTGCTACTTCCTTCTTTTTATGTGCTCCAATTTAGGACCACAGAAATCCTGGGCTGGAAAGTATGGGGAAAAAAAATGCTTGGAATATAAAAGATTTAATTTATGCCTTCAAATGCTTAACACAGAGCTATAATTGCTATTTTAATCACATGTGCTGTGTGCGCATTGAATACCAAGGTCTTCATGTGTCAACCAGCACCCAGTAAAGCGGCAGGGATTTTTTCCACTTTAATGTATTCATGTTAACATGTAAAAAGATCCATTTTAAAGGACCTGAAAAAATAGTAAGTGACAGCTTCAACTATAACTGTCAAAAACAAGTGGATATAAAATTCCAGTTTGCCACTAATGGCAGGGTACTTTTTTGTTTTGCCTTCAAACACTTCAGAAACAACCTGCTCAAGGTGGGTGGCAAACTGCTATTTTATGCCCTAGGGATTTGTGTCACAAAGATGCCACTGGATTAGCCAGGCAGCTCTCCTGAGAAGAACTGAGAGGAAATGCCAAGAAGCGGAGTCTTTTGAGCTACTTTTACTCCGGAATTTACATTTTTTTGTATTGTCCTTYTTAGTAAGAACAAGACTGACTTTGGACATCAATTTTTGTCGCGCAAGAAACCTTRCTCTGAATGGTTAAAAACCTCTGATTTTTGAAGTGCTCGGCACTTCTTGTTTCACGTACACATGCACTGTAGCACATTAGCATTTTATTACCGTACATAAAACAGAACAAATCATAGGATAGAATATTACAGGACTACCCAGATTGGCAATCCAAAAAAACAACCACTTCCAATTAACCTAACACATAAGGTACCAAATCCCCTCASTGTTTTTTGACTCCAGGATGATGCCTGTGCTGAAAACTGAAAGCTGAGAAACCAGTGCCAAACACCACTTGGCCACAACATCCCTCTCAATCCCCAGGTACACGAAGGGAGCAGCTTGCAGGAGATGGCCCTTTGATGCTCCCCAGCTGCAAAGCTAAAGCTATCCATGGCACTGACCCGAGTGCCTGATTTGTGTCTGTGCAACACAGCTGCGCAGGTGAGGAAAGGCAGAAGATGTCTCAGCTAGTGATGGCAGAGGATTAGCAGATTGAGAAGGTCTTTTTGTTCGGAAGCCAGACAGATTAATTGCTGTCTTTGCTGGGAGGGAGGGGAAAGATGTGCTCTGTGCTCACCTGGCTGTTGTACTTCCCACCAACTCTATTTCATGTATGGACATGTGATGGGGAGAGCAGTATCTCCTAAATATTTACATAGATCAGCCAGCAGAACAGCTTTTTTTTTTTTTTTTCGCATCCTGCTGGAAAGATCAAAGTTATTTCTCCCTTGCCCCCCTTCCCATTCCTCTGAAGTTCAATTTTAGCCCAGTCTCATTTTTGTCTCAAGGAAGCAAGACTCATGTGATCCCATATGTGCCTAAGTGTGTGTCTCTGCCTGTCTCTCTGCAGGTCTGTTCATTCCTCCTATCCCCTCTGTAAGTTTTGGAGAACACTATCTCATTTCACCCAAGACTAGAAATGTCAACTGTGAGACACAAASATAAAACAAATCAGGGTTCACGAACTCTGCAGCTCACAGAATGACATCTCTTTGTTTTGGGGGAAAAGGGGGAGAGGATTTCATTTTTCTTGTGCTGTTCCCCTTCAGCTTTGTATACCCTTATTATCCACTTTCATTAAATGAGCATACTAACTGAGCAAAGCAGAGGGGTTACTTGGTGGAGGCATGGAAGAAAAGATGGTGCTATAGCTCTCAGAAGAGGACACGGGAATGAGAAAAGGAGCTCTTGTCTCTTCCTCTTGTTATTGAGGGCTCACATGCAGCAAAGCACCTGGAAGATCRCAGATACATCTCACTGTGGAAAGTAAAATGATCACATTTCTCACATAGTTAGAGACAGAAAAGATTTTCTCATTAAATCTGTATTCAGTCAGCTAATCAAGTAAAATTGCACAATAACCCTTCTAGAGTCTAGGATATAATTTTTAATCAAAGTTTGCAATTTTCAGAAAACTTATTCATATGGATCAATGATAAAAATTATCAGACAGGACCTGGTAAGAAAACCAAGAGGTACAGATCAACAGCCATCAACTTCATTAAAAATAAAAAAAAAAAAAATAAAAAAAAAACACCTTGGAAAAATGTGTATTCTCCAAGTTGATCACCTGTATCCACAGATTACAAGGACACAAGGAATCACTAACTCATTATGCCTGAACTCTGTTGACAAAGAGCAGACTTTTTTATATTGTTATTTCTGATTATCTTTCAACAAGACATTTTCTCTTGATCCAAAATGTTATTCTCATCCTAACTATGAGTTTGCAAGGCCAGTTATCTTAGCCTATATGGAGAGGTTTAGAGACCACAGCATACACTACACTATTTCCTGCTTACATCTTGCAGAAAACTTCTTAAAGCAGAGCATGCCTGATTTTTATCTGACTCCTCCAGTGAATATCACATAGTGTGTTCCACGTGCCTTTTGTAATCAGCTGTAATTTTGACTGCATCACACCTTGAAACATCCAAGTTGTAACATAGACTTCTTCAAATATTGTCAAATATAAACTAGATTTTTGTGGAACTGTGAAGCATAACCTGGCACAGGATTTAGCATTTGCTGAGTAGGATTTGTTCAATCATTATATCATATATCTTATAATATAAAACAAATATTATTATAGGTATGTTATATTCATATAAATCAATTATGACTCTCTTTTGCTACCTGAGATGACTTTATCTGAAAGTCTGAAATCTTCAAAATTTGAACAGTTGTAAGTCTATTCTTTGTCTATGTAAAAAAACCACCCAGCATTTCAATGTTCAGTAATACAAAAATACAGTTGAAAACAAGTAAAATAAATTGCAAAATAGTGCTAAAAATAAAAAACATGAAACACATGACTAAGAATCAATGGTCTCTGTAATAAAACAGGGAAAACATTAAAGTACAGATTAAGGCTACTCTGCTCTAGTCACTTGAAATTCTGCAGGAGACAACAAATACTAAACAGGTGAAAAACCCAACGTGGAAATGCAATGGAAAATTATTTTGTTTTTTTGCAACAAAACAGAATTAAACTTACTTTGCACTTGTGCAATAAACCATTTTGTCCAGCTCCAGTAGAAAAAATAAAAGTAATTGTTTCTTTTTGGCTTTCTATTGCAGCGTACAGGACAGCTTTAAAGAAGAAATGAGAATTTCTGACTGCTTTTGAACAGAATGAATTTTCACAGTTGATCTTATCAAAACAGTAGGAATACAACAGAGACGAATCACACAAGCAATTTAGGTCTCACCATCCACTTCATTAGGGTTTCTGCCTCTAACATTTATTTTAATTGCTTGTCTCCCTGTTTTTCATGTTTAGAACTTGGAACACATATTCCTGACTTACATGCCTTATACCTCCTCTTATTCATAGTTCATTCCACATATTTATGCTAGCTGACTTTTCAAACTGTTCCTAAATAACCTCACTACCCAACTTCTTCTCACCTCTCCCCTTAAGAAATTAGAGTTCAAACATTTCATCAGAGGCAAACTAAAGAGAGAAAAAAAAAGTATTTCCTGAAATTATGCAATTAAGTCATCTTTTAGAGATTCCTACTGTCTCTCTCCAAGATTTGCTACTGATGTGCACCAAAAATAAAAATAAAGATTTCATTGTTTACTCAAATTTCTATGAATATCTAATATCTCCTTCAAAATGCTTATTAACAAATGTATTTAACTTGTTAGCACTTATTTTACAATCCAATATTTCTCAGTATTTAATATGAAATAACTTCCTACATTACTTGCTTTTCTGCCTTAGTTTTTTTTTTAATTATACATGCCAATGTGAAAAAGCTCAGCCTCTGCTCCTAGACAGTAGTCGAAAAATAAACAAACAAAAAGGGACTAAAGAAATTTCCCAAGCAAACAGATAAATGTTTGCCTTTTTTGGCTTGTTTCTATGAAAACTACTAAAGGTTAGAAAGAATCAGTGTAAGTGAATTACAATGAATTGCTTGGTCTATTCTCACTAAACACCTTCCACAAAATAAATGTAAAACAATCTGAAAATGATAAAAACTGATTTCAGTAACAAATGTTGTTTCTTCTATTACACTTACAAATGCCTAGGCAACAGTGCAGACACAAACCTAACTAAAGCTGGGGAGCAGCTAAAGGCACAGCTAATTTCCCTTTGGCTTTACTACTTTCTTTGGGGTTTTCCAAATACTTTGTTCCTGTAGAAATCTGCTACTCCTTTTACAGCAACTATCCCACCTGGGCTTTAGAAACATGCACTCAGGGAAGATACATGAGATAGTGCAGATCATTACAGCCTTTTAAACGATCCAGTGTAGGGAGATTTTAAGATGATCTGGTTTCCTTAGTAGTAAGGTAAAGACCACATTGAGAAGACCTTAGGTAGAGGTGTTTGCAAATTGCCTCTGACGGCACATGCCACRGAAAATAAAATGTGGTGTTGAATAATCACCATGCACTGAAGCAGTTTCCATGGCAACTGTTTATTTTTCATCAAAATATTAATGAAGGAAAACTTAAAATAACTGGAAGTACTGGCACGAGCAAGAAAGCGTGGCTAAACCAAGCTCCCGTGTGCCAGCTCCTGCTCCCAGCTACCCAGCCTGGGCAAGCTCCCCTGCGAGGSAGGAACGTGGCACGAGCTCCCTCTCCTCCAAGTGAGCATCTCGGGACCAGATGGAAGCTCTGCCCCCACACAAGCCCAGCCTACAGAAAGCAGGGGGACCTGAGGCTCTGAAACCCCACTCCTGTTAACTATTTCCAAAAAAGGAGAAAAATAAAACAAAACCACACACTGACACGTGCAATAAAGAGGATGTCTCTAAGGTGAGATTCTGCTTCACAGTCTTCTCTGTGCAAGGTCAAAGTTGATCTTGTCTAGCCCTAAGAAAAACTACAGTAAATAAGCTATACTTTCCTGAAGTACTCAATTTTGAAAAGCAGAGAGAAGAAATAAATCACTGAACCACCAATAATTCACATGTCCACAGCCATCTATTCATCAGCTCCCTCATTTAAAGAAACACTTGGAACAGACCTTCTGACACACATCAAGCATCTCTGTCCTTGGGTGACACTGCCTGACAATCAAAGAATTTTATGCACAGATAATAGCAAGTAACACTTCCATTTGGCAATACAATTCATATATTTGATAAGCTTTAATGCTGGATGCTATTTTATACCATATGCCATAAGCAGTATTAAATCCTTACTTTTTTCAGCATAGGTTCAGTTCATCAGACAATCCCCATGCACCACTGAAAGAGAATTAAGACAAATAAGTATTCAATGCACAATTTACTATCTTGAGAGACCTCAACATATCTTGTAGCTCTCTGCAACTGGAAAAAAAAAACACTCTGTTTAAGATCAATGAATTCCAAATATCAAACTCAGTATATCAAATTCTGTGGGCTAAATTGACAGCTAGCATAAATCTGTGTAGTTGTACTGGTGTTAATGAAGCTCTATTAAATCTTTTAAATATATGACACAATGTAATGTCTAGTATTATTTAAATCATGTTAGTATAGCAATATCTGCTTATTTATCCTTAAGGTTTCAGTAGCAATATTATTCAGAAGAAATCAGAAAAAWAATATTACTAAGGATGTTACTGTTTCATCCTTTTTCCTAGAAAATAAATTGCTTTCAATTTAAAGTATCGTTTGCCTAAACTGGAGCTATTCTGGTTTGTTGCATCTTCCTCAGTTCCTCCTCAYACTATTCCAATAGCATGGTAATTTAAATAACACAATATTTAAATATAAATAAGTTTACCAAGATGCAACTTCACATTCTAATAGCGAAAAGTTGACATTTTTTGTGACACAGGCAAATGAGTTTAACATCTCTCTCTACTACAACCAAATGACAAAAATCATATTCAAAGCTATGAAATGGGAATAATGAGAATTATGCTCTCTCTTTACAGAGCTTTGAGATACATGTATAAAGAGTTATTTATTACAGTCTGGGAACAGTATTTCAATTTTCCCTCTTTTCTTCCCTGGTTTCAGGGAGCTGGGAGACCTGGTTTCTACATTGCTCCTAAAGGCTGTAATTCACTCATGTTAAGGAAAAAGAAAAAAGTACTTTCCCCAAGGAAAGGTCAGAGAGTTTCATCACGGCACAGATGGAAGGAAGGGAAGCCCAAGAGGGTTCTAACGCCCAGCAGAGCCTGTGGTTGCTCGAGCAGCCCCGAGCTCTGCCCACAACTCACTTCCCTCGCTCAGAGGACACGTCCTGGGAGAGCTTCAAGCCTCCTGCTTCACCCTGCCAGTCACTCGGCRCTTCCAGCTCTTCTGGCTTTCTCTTTACTGAAATTCCTACATGGTTTTAGGCAGAAAAGTCTAACGTCTTGTTAGTCCTAGTCTTGTTCACCTTTAAGAAAGCTCTTCCCAAACTGATCACTGTGTGGCTAGGAAGCAAAAATCTCTATGTGCTATAGGATATGATGAGCTTATAATAAGTCATGTTTGTCTCCTGACACATGGGTCCATCTGAACTCATCTCATACAGAGAAAAACATCAGGAAAACCTTCTCAGGGCAGCAATGTAACACTTTTTGCATTGTGAATAGTAATCACAGAGCACCTAAGTTGTGCCTCTCGGTAGCACAACACGTTGTAGAGGTCAAAATCCAAACAGCTGCAAAATGATCTGATAGTTTCATAAAGAATCAGTCATGATACTTGAACCCAGACTTCTTTCTGAAAACATAATAAAACAAACTGCAAGTTAYGTTTTATAAAACTGGTAACTCTTCTGCGATAAGGAAAGCACCATTTTAACGCAGTCTGTTCCGCTCCCCGTGTCACTCCCTTATCTTCTGCAATGACAGAAAAATGAGTTCACTGTGCTTTTCATTTGAGTCATTACAGGAACGCTTCTATTTGCAGGAAACATAAGCAATGCAGCAGAGTAAATCTGATGCACTCAAGATACACAGCTACATAATGATGGAAACACAGGCCTGAACACCTCAGCTTTGCACTCTGTTCCCTTAAAGGCTCTCTAACATTTTCTGCATCATCCTCAGTCAAAGGCTGCGTGTGTTTTGTCCACATCTGACAGTTCAAAGCCGAGCGTACCATGTCAAAGCAAACTTCTGGAAATATCCTACTGCAATTTCACATTTCCTTCTAGGAATGAAGGAATAATCCTTTAAAATAACGTATTGTTACATGTATAATACTTGCTGAACATATAATACATATAAGAAGAGTCTCAAAAATAATATTAATTTCTGTCTGAATTTTCACCTAGATTTTCTTAATTATCCCTTTATGCCAAGAAATCTTCTTCCTAGTTTAAGGCTTTGGAAATTTCAAAGCCTACACTGCAGAACTTCTACCACTGTCCCTGCTGCAGCAGAGCTCCCTCATGCAAAAGCACAAGGTGTCAGTGCAGGTGCTTCTCTCACTGACCAAATGAAACGGCTCTGGCTAGACAGAAACTGGAGAAACGTCACCCGCCTGGGCTGCACCCTCGCCGGGGCATCTGCAGCACCCTGAGCACAGCCTGTGCTCAGCCCACACAGAGAAACATTCAAGCCGGGCTTTGAAGTGGGAATCTAAAAAACATCATTTCATAGCAAAGAAAAATCTCTCCAGCTTGTTCAGCTATTCTCCAKCTATTTCTTTTTCAAATCCTTTTAGCCTTACAGTAAACTGATAGAGTTATTTCTTCTTGCTGCTTCTTGCCTCTCTTCTCTGCTCCTCTTTTGCGCTGTTGTGTTGTTTCATAAGGCTTAGCCATCTTTCCCAGGTCCCAATCAATTTTCACATCAGCTACACTAATTGGCAACAGACTTGACACATTTCTTGATTACAAGTAAAACACTTAGAACAAAGCTCCAAACCTTTAAAAAGAGAAGGAAAAATGCAGCAAAGAAAATGTCCTCAATTAAGTACTCTCTTAATGGAATTCTTGGGGAAGCAAAAGGAGAAGGAAACCAAATTGTGAAAGACCACCCTGTTGTAGTATTATTTAAAACATCAGAGGTTTTATTTAAGAAGTTGTGTGTTCTGGAATATCGTCATTAAACTACTTCAAGCTTTTAATGATATATAATGTTTGTTCTACTGCCATACAAACTGTTCTTCTCCTCAGAGAACTCCAAAAAGGTAGATTCTTTCAGCAAATGTACTGTTTAAATATGCTTTTATAGACCTCTATCAAATTTGTATCAAAAAAATATGTTTTTTTGATTTGTTAATAAGAGTAAATGCTACAGAGAGAAACTGTGAAGAATCAGCTTTGAAAATTTGGCATTTCATATGCATAAAGATTGTCTCTACAATATATCAATGATTTATACCGTTGAAAATAGAAAAATCAATGTTCTTTTTTTTTTCTTGTAGCTTAGAAGCATCATATTGCTTTGGGAATGGTATCTAATTTTCCATTTTAAAGTGTTCTGATGTTTTGCAATTATCAAAAAATTGTATTGCATTATAATTAAAACTGGTTACACAACAAAAATGAAGCATATAGATTTGAGAAAGAAGTTGTTTCAATCAGTTATGAGCAAGTTTTGCTGATTTCTGCTAATTTCTTAGAATAAGACCTGCAAGACCTGGCTTGTGATTTGGTAAAATTCTGTATGAAGAGCTAAGACCCTGCAGCGTATACATACAAATAATCATTCAGGTCACCTCCTGCTTGTGAGATGACCTAATTTTGCATTGCTTGTCACCAACAATCCTGAATTTAGTAAGGTGACAACCTGTCCATAAGAAAATTAATGGAAACAACTACCTCAGTACATGTAAGCCACAGATTAGGTATCGATAGCTATCATCATTAATTAAGGTTCTCACTGTCTTAGTGCCACCTCCCCAGGGTGATATCCAAGGACACAACTCAATACCCACAAATATTCCTTTTTAAACACGAGGAATATAAAACATTAAAAAAATAAAATATTTCTACAAATTTTATCTGGCAATTATCTTACCCCCCCACCCAAAACAAAAAAAAAAAAAAAAAAAAAAAAAAGGAAAATTAAAAACACAACACAGTGCAATGAACCCAAGAAGAGCTCCTTCTCTGATAGATCCTTCCTTGCACAGTTTCTCACTCAAGCTTAAACTCCAATAATATGAGTACTCTAGCTCAAGAAACAGATTTTTGCTGGTAGGATATAGATCTTGCCACACAGCACTTAGCAATGCTTGCTTTTGATATGTAAAAACAAAGCAAAAGTTAGAGGAAAGAGAAGGATAGCACAGAAGCCAGGTCACTGTTCACCAGCGCTGTCTCTGTGCAGAACCGCTCTGATGCTCCAGTTGAATATTTATATATCCCTGTAGAGAGGKAAGGATACAGCAACACAGGCACTTGGAGTTTTATGATGAGGAGCTGCCTGTTGCATAAGGAGCAGATGGTTTATGTGTTCAGAGGGACATGTTCTCGCTGTTCACACCTCTGGCGGAGCGGCAGCTTGCGATGGCTCTAGTTTATTAGGAACTTGATTTCATGGCATATTTGCAGTCTTCTTTTGACAGTGTTTTCCCTCAATAACAAAAGGGTGACATGGAGCAAGAAGAGTGCCTCTATTATTATTTACTATTTCTATTGTCTCCGTGCTGCTTTTATCTCCCTCAGAGGTGCAAACAACTAAACAAAAAAGCCATTTGTCCCCAAAAGATTCTAGTTCAATGATGAATTCACATATATGTCCTGCATGCCTAAACATTTTCCTTTTTCAGCATTTCAATTCTCACATAATTTCCTTCTGCTGAGCATCTTTCCAGGCAGAAGGAACAAGGCAGAAATTCACAGCACAGGGATAGTCTATGGTTAAAAAATAAATGTATTACTACCAGGCCTCATGTATATCAGGATCCAGTTGGTCACGTAACTCTGTGAGTTTTAGCAGTGTTGAGGAAGAATAATTAAAATAATAATAAAGTGCTTAAAAATAATCTATAGAAAATCTAGCTTTTGCATTGATTTTACAAACCTAAATTTTGTGGGGCAAAAGGAAGCAAAAGGAGCCCATCAACTGTCTAACGCAGAGAAGCTCACACTGGATTCTGTTGCTCTTTTCTTCCATCTTTTACTGCATAGACAACACACAAGCAGCACTAGCAGAGCTGCACACACATCTCATGCATATATCCAAGTTTAAACTGGAACTCCAACATTTGGATGTAGATTTAAATTTCCTGAATTTGCAAAGCTGAACCAGGAATCCCATGAGACAGGCTGGTTTTGGGAGACTGCCAATCCAAAAGGGATCATGCAATGT